CCAAAATTTGTTTATCACTGCTTTGTACTAAAGTGCTTTTTAAATTTTTTGCTCCCCTATAAATAATCTTAGGTTTTTCTGGCAAAATACTTTTTAGGACCGGATCATCTTGCAAGATGTGCCAGTATCTGTTTATAATTTTCTTAACTTTTTTATGATTTCCATTAAAATTACAAATGAACGGAACATCATTATTCCATTTTTGTTTCCCCTTTTTATCTTTATATATTAAAAAAATTTTCTGGGAATTATACGGACCTCTTCTAGAGTTGCCTGTAAATCTGTTTCTGCATACCCTTTTTGTAAAAATTGGGTCTTTATCCTCCCTGCCTGTAGTAAGTAATCCTCATCATTAGTGCAGTTCTAATTCTTAAAAATTGTCCTCTAGGTGCATTTTGTAGCCAGGGTGTGTAGTGACAGCTCTCTTTTTGAATATATCCGTTTGCGTCCACTTCTTTAAAATGGTTTTTCGTAGTAATGCAAGTGTTCATAATGTTAATATCAAGGTCTAAGAAGTTGATGTTTTCTTCACTTATCTGTGCCGTTAAAACGATGTTCCATTCATTGTTATTTAAAAAAGCAATAAAAACATCTAACTCTGTCCTAGTTCCCGTCCAGATAAAAAATATATCATCGATGAAACGATGATAGCACACCAAGTCCGCCACCCAGGCATGTCCTCCATATACGAAACTCCAAGAGAAAAACGAGAAAATTTGCAGTGGAGAAATCAGAAAAGAGACTTCTCCCCTGCAACAAAGTTTCCTAGATATAAAAGTTATAGTGAAGCCGTCAAATCAAATCCAACCCAAAGAGGAGAAAGAAGGAATTTCACACAGAACCCACATGAATTTAATAGAGAAAGAGAAAGATATCATCGAGATGAAGGTGAAACGAGTAAAGAGGGTAGAGAACAAAGGAAATATTCACCAAAAATACAGAGGAAGAGATTAGAGAAGGGGCAGGATTTACCACATACTTCCAATCAGAACCCCATATCTCCTTTTTTTCGGAGGGATCCAGTCAAGGAAAGATTGAAACAAACACAGCAGACCAGTATATGGGAATCCCCAGGCAAGCGCAGAAGATCGGTAACACAAGAAGGAGAACCCGAGGAAGGAGAAGAAACGAGATACAGGGAGAAGAGAGGCAAGAGATGAACATGGAAGGCATTTTTAGTTTAACAGACCAAGAATTATCGAAAGAGACAATGGAAGTCTTGCAGAAAGGTCTAAAATTCGCCCCGACCGTAGATTTAAATAAATTTGATCTGTTTATAGATATTAATAAATTCATTAGACAGTTATGTTTGAAGAAGTTCTTTGCCAATCAGAAGGAAACTCAGAAGGAAGAGGTTGTATTAAAATACAAACATACCGACTTAAAAACGAAATCTAACTTTTTTCCCAAACACCTCATCTCTGATGAAATTAAAGCATTTGAGATAATGGTCATGAAAGAGATAAGACAAATTAGGCCATTGAATAAATACCAATACAACATGTCAAGTAAGGAAAAAAATGTGGTTAAGGGATTAAAACAAAACAGAGAGATGGTCATTAAACCGGCAGATAAGGGGGGAGGGGTTGCTATATCTTCAAGGTCTAGCTATGTACAAGAAGCTGAACGAATTCTATCTGACCCCCTTACATATCAAAAGTTGGATAGAAATCCAATTGAGGAAATAAAAAAGAAATTCGATGAATATATTAAGAAAGGTCTAGAAAAGGAAATTCTAACAGTAGATGAAGCTAAGTATTTGTCCACCCCACACCCTAAAACCCCAGTTTACTATCATCTACCAAAGGTGCACAAAGATAGAAAAAATCCACCTGGTAGACCAATAATATCTGGGATCGATTACGTTTCAGCGAAGGTATCGGAATACTTGGACAAATTGTTACAACCTTTAGTTGTGTGCAATCCTGCTTATCTAAAAGATACCATACATATTTTGAAGCTTTTAGAGGAGATCACTTGGAAAGAGGGTAACTTTTTGGTTACGTGCGACGTAACCTCCCCCTATAGTATCATACCTCATAAAATTGGATTGGAAGCTGTGCAATATTTTTTAAGAAAACACAATTTTAAAGAAGAACAAACTCAATATATTTTAGAAGGTATCCACTTGATTTTAACGAATAATTTTTTTTGGTTTCAAGATATCTTTTACTTACAAATTCGGGGAACGGCGATGGGCACCAAGTTCGCTCCCAGTTATGCGAACTTATTTATGGCGTATTGGGAAGAACATTTCGTATATGGAGGACATGCCTAGGTGGCGGACTTGGTGTGCTATCATCGTTTCATCGATGATATATTTTTTATCTGGACGGGAACTAGGACAGAGTTAGATGTTTTTATTGCTTTTTTAAATAACAATGAATGGAACATCGTTTTAACGGCACAGATAAGTGAAGAAAACATCAACTTCTTAGACCTTGATATTAACATTATGAACACTTGCATTACTACGAAAAACCATTTTAAAGAAGTGGACGCAAACGGATATATTCAAAAAGAGAGCTGTCACTACACACCCTGGCTACAAAATGCACCTAGAGGACAATTTTTAAGAATTAGAACTGCACTAATGATGAGGATTACTTACTACAGGCAGGGAGGATAAAGAC